CTCATGCATGCAAGGCAAGCGCTCTACCACTGAGCCACCTTCCCAGCCCCGTCAATCATGATTTTTAAGCTCTCTCTGAAGGACCCATGTTTTCAGGAAATAAAAATGAAATTCTAAAGCTGGGTATGGTAGCACAATCCTATAATCCCAGCACTTAGTAGGCGGAGGTAGGAGGATCACAAGGCCAGCTGATATATATATATATATATATCAAAACCTGTCTCAAGAAAAAAAAAAGCCTCAGTCTTGGGGCTTGAACTCAGGGCCTGGGTGCTGTCTCTGAGCCCCTCTGTGCTCAAGGCTAATGCTCTACCACTTGGGTCACAGCACCACTTCTGGCTTTTTCTGTTTATGTGGTACTGAGGAATCAAACCCAGGGCTTCATGAATGCAAGACAAGCGCTCTACTACTGAGCCACCTTCCCAGCCCCAAAAGATATACTCTTAAACTAGCTTTACTTCCTATTGCAGAAAATAGCAATGTACACAGAGTTAGAATAAGGACTATCTATGTGCCTTCCTATTGGGGTTTATACTTTCTTATTATATTTTTTGTCGGTTGTGGGGCTTAAACTTTGAGCCTGGACACTGTCCCTCAGCTCTTCAGCTCAAGGCTAATGCTCTGCCACTTGAGCCACTGCACCACTTCCAGCTTCCTAGTGGTTTATTGGAGATAAGAGTCCCATGGACTTTCCTGCCTGGGCTGGCTTTGAACCTTGATCCTCAGATCTCAGCCTCCTGAGTAGCTAGGATTACAGGCGTGAGCCACCAGTGCCCAGCTTGTTGTGTTATCTTGCCTTAATTATCCCCCAACCTTCTTCCCTGAATTTGGGGGAAAAAGAAGGGGGAGAACTGTCCTATTCTTCATTCCCCTCCATTTTATCTTACAACATGACCAAGGTATTTAAAGAACAAAAACACAACCATCAAAACAATTTTAGTAAGTTAGTTTACAACTGGTTTTCTTCTTAAATATTGTTTTAAAATTACACAAAGAAGGAAGATGCAGTACAACTTTACAAATGGCATTTTTATTAATTCTGTGAAGATCCTTAGTTGATCTTCCCTCAAAATCCTGTTTGTTTTATTCTTTCACCAAATCCTCAAGCCCTGAGGGAAAAGCATTTGCCCAATTTTACAGTAAACATTATTTTTAATTAATTTATTTATTGTTATTATAAAGGTGATATACAGAGGGATTACAATTATATGAGTCAGATAATGAATACATTTCCTTTCATTCAATGTCTTCTGTTCCCTCAGTTTTTTAAAAATAATTTTTTATTGAGATTGAGTAATTACATAAATTTCACAGTGTTGTGAGATAGTGATACTCAGTTAAAGTCACAAATACATTTTAACCTTCACAAAGCAAATTGTCATTATCATGGTCTATAATGTTTGTGAATCCTGTGAACTTAACAATACAGCTATTTCTTTCACATTGGGTGATATGTACATTTCTTTCCTTTTGCTTAGTGTAAGCTGTTCCCTCTTTCCCTCTCATTCCCTCCCTCCCATTGCTGCCCTTGAGTTGCTTAGTTTGTTTTTTTTATCAATGTCCAGTGCAGCTGATGGGCCCCTCTGTTGTATGTTTTCCGTTTCCCTCTGATTCTGTGCCCTCCTCCTAGCTTGAGCCACAGCGCCACTTCCTGTTGTCTGGTAGTTAATTAGAGATAAGAGTCTCATGGACTTTCTTCTGCCCCGGATGGCTTTGAACCAACATCCTCAGATCTCAGCCTCCTCAGAAGCTAGGATTACAGGCATAAGCCACTGGCACCTGGCTAGTATTTCCTCTTTTAACCTCGTTCTTGCAAAAAGCCCTAGACCATCAGAGAGCATATGTTTTGTAATATACCACAGACTATCGGATTAACTCTAGACCACACATTCTCAAAGAGGAAGCACTGCTAGTAGAAACACTTTATCACTCAAACTCATCTGTTTTTATAGGAGGCAATATTTCTTTCACTTGATAGACAAAATTTGGGTATAAATTAGGAAACTGAAAAATGACTTTTAACCACCAATCTGAACACCAAGTAATTTTAAATCTGTCTTTTAACTGTATGTTTATACTATTCTTAGAATATATTTTTAAAATTAGTACTTAAGCCAGATGCCAGTGGCTCATGCCTGTAATCCTACCTCCTCAGGAGGCTGAGATCTGAGGATCACAGTCTGAAGCCAGCCTGGGCAGGAAAGTCCACATGAGACTCTTTATCTCCAATTAACAACCAGAAAACTGGGTGTGGCACTGTGGCTGAAGATCTCAGGGAAAGCACCCAGGCCCAGAGTTCAAGCCCAACAACCGACAAAAAAAATTAATTAGAATTTTTCTTAAACAAACCTAGAAGCTGCATTCTGGTGGCTCACACCTGTAATCCTAGCTATACAGTTGGCTGAGATTTGACACACACACATACACACACAGAGGCAGAGGTAGTGCTGTGACTCAAATGGTACAGCACTAGTCTTGGGCACAAAAGCTCAGGGATAGCACTTAGGCCCTAAAAAGCCCACTACCACCGACAACAAAAAGCCCTAGACCATCAAGGCACCAGTGGCTCACGCTTGTAATCCCAATAACTCAGGAGGCTGAGATCTGAGGATCACACTGTTCAAGGCCAGCCCAGGCAGGAAAGTCTATGAGACTCTTACCTCCATTTGACCACCAGAAAACTGGAAGTGGTGCTGTGGCTCAAGTGGTAGAGTGCTCGCTTTGAGCTGAAGAGCTGTGGGACAATGTTCAGGCCCAGAGTTCAAGCCCCAGGTTTGTTGGAGGTTTTTTTTGGTTGTGGGGCTTGAACTCTGGGCCTGGGCGGTGTCCACTTGAACCACAGCACCACTTCCAGTTTTCTGGTGGTTAATTGGAGATGAGAATCTCATGGACTTTCTTGCCCAGACTGGCTTCAAACCACGATCCTCAGACCTCAGCCTCCTGAGTAGCTAGGGTTATAGGCATGAGCCACTGCGCCTGGCATGAGTTTTGTATTTATTCAGATACAACTGAGTAGGCTAGATTCCTTCTCTTCTTCCACCATCTTCTTAGAATAGGGTTTCCACTTAAGTTTGTCGTAACTGCTTCAGGCATGATCTAAGGTGCAGAGTTTGTCTCAATTGGGACACTCACAGGATGGACATGTTCTGCTTAATTAAAATATTCAGAGCTGTGTGCCTGAGCTAGCAGCTCCCACTGGCTTGCTGAAGCATTTGCTACTTTTAGAATCTCTTGTGAGCTGCTTGTTAAAACAGCCAGTGTGAATAATTAAATGCATAGATGCACACAGATTGCATTCAAAGGAACACCAGGACTCAAAGTTCATTGTTGCTGATGCGTTTTCTCTGTGCTCTGTAGGTTGCATGCATCCCTTGTCTGTATGCTCCTTTTTGTCTCTCACCAACTGTATACTCAGTGACATATTTATTGAGTCATTGTCCAAGTATTCCCATTCTGGGAATCAGTACCCCCCATTTGCTTTTCTGTAAATATTCACTAGCACATTTCTGATTTGAAGAAATCAGTCAAGAAGCCTTTCAAGAAAACTTGACTAAAATATTTGTTTTTCTTTCTTTCTTTTTTTTTTTTTTGCCAGTTGTGGGGCTGAACTCTGGGCCTGGGCGCTGTCCCTCAGCTCTTCAGCTCAAGGCTAGCACTCTATCACTAGAGCCACAGTACCACTTCTGGCTTTTTCTGCTTTATGTGGCGCTGAGGAATCGAACCCAGGCCTCATGCATGCAAAGCAAGCGCTCTACCACTGAGCCACTTTCCTAGCCCTTGTTTTTCTATCTTAAATGTGGAAACATACTGAAATATTCATGTCTTGGTCCCAAATGGTGAAGAACATCTTTGATAAATTCCTATAATGCTCAGAATAATCCTCTTCAACATAACAAAATAATCCTTATTGATATCTAAAAAATAAGTCACTAGCTGGGTGCTGGTGGCTCATGCCTATAATCCTAGCGACTGAGGAGGTTGAAATCTGAGGATCACAGCTCAGATCCAGCCTGGGCAAGAATGTCTGTGAGACACTTATCTCCAATAAACTACTTAGAAAAGGCCAGAAGTGGACCTGTGGCTCAGGTGGTAGAGCACTAGCCTTGAGCAAAGGAAGCACAGGTATATACACACACACACACACACACACACACACACACACAGAGTATGTCCCTCCTTACGGTTTAATTTTACGCCACATATGGACTTGCAACTTGTTTATATACACTCGTACAATTGTGTTTGGCTGCAGCTGCCACAGGTGACATGCCCACTTACCAGATCCGGGCCCCTACTACTGCATTGCCACAGGGCGTAGTGATGGCCGCCTCACCAGGAAGTTTGCACAGCCCCCAGCAGCTAGCGGAAGAAGCAACACGGAAACGGGAGCTGAGGTTAATGAAAAACAGGTAAGATGTTGCCCTGGAAATGAGACCACTTCTAGGATACACAGTGTACCACTGGGGACTTTAAAAAAGTTATACTTTTGTGTTTGTATGTGTGTGTGTGAGAGAGAGAGAGAGAGACAGATAGACAGACAGAGAAACAGAGAGACACACCAGTAGTGGGGCTTGAACTCAGGGCCTCATACTCTCACTTAGTTTTTCTGTTCAAGGCTGGTACTCTACCACTTAAGCCACATCTCTACTTCTAGCTTTTTGCTGGTTAATTGGAGATAAGTCTCTAGAATTTATCTGCTTACGATGGCTTCCAACCAAAATTCTGAACCCTCAGCCTCCTGAGTAGCTAGGATTACAGGCGTGAGCAACCAGGACCCAGCTTAAAAGTTATACTTTTGCTAAAAGCTTTTTCTCCCAAATTCAGTGTTATGTGCACAACATGTCAGGATTAATATGCTTGCCTTCAGGTTAGAGTGCTTGGCCATTCAACTTTCACCTTAGCTGGTAAGGTATACTTTTTCTAGATTAAGTAGTTGTGCAAAGCGATTACAATTCTGTAAGTCAGATTATGAACACAGTACATCTTGGTCACCATGTCACCCTTTCCATCATTCTCCTCCTAGCCCTACCTTAAGTTAATATAGTTAAAATTTTTACATGATGTACAGTGAACATAATGACCGAATTTGTTCAGTCTTCCTCCCTCCCTTTGTGTGTGCCCTTACTTGGTGCTCTCCCCTGCCTCCCCCACCAACTTGTTACTACTACTTCCTGGTGTTCTTTTTTGGGGGAAGTGGTGCTTGAACTCTGGGCCTGGGAACTGTCCTTGAGCTCTTCAGCTTAAGGCCAGCGTGCCACCACTTGTGCTACAGCACCACTTCTGGTTTTCTCATGTTTAATTGGAGATAAGAGTCTCATGGACTTGCCTTCCCTGGGCTGGCTTTGAGCCAGGATCCTCAGATCTCAGCCTCCTGAGTAGCTAGGATTACACGTGTGAGTCGCTTGTGCCTGGCCTGGTGTTCTTTTTTTTTTTAAGCAGCTTATGTGTTGTTCAGAGGAATTACACCTTTCAATTCCTCCCCTAAGTATGGCATCTTTTAGTCAGTTTGTTTGAGTCACACTAGCTTTTTAAAACAATAATAGACCTTAGTTACAAGTGTTTATATTTATAATTTCTTTGTGATGGATTGTGGTAAGTATAATGTTAGCTTCTTTACTAGTCAGATAAATTTGTTAAAATTTTAAGTCTTATACTTTTATCTGTTTTGTAACTATGTATTTTTCACTGTTATGAATTAGCTATAATTCTGACAAATTCTAGTCAAATGCAGATCCAAAATAACAAAAAGAATTAAACTCACCCATCCCTCCATCTCTTAGCCACCTGCCAAAGTTATATATAGAATGTATCCTTCTAGTCTGTTCTCTTGTCATTTTCTCTCATTTCTTGTTCCATAGATCTGTTATTTTATTTTATTTTGCCAGTCCTGGAGCTTTAACTTGGCCTGGGCACTGTTCCTGAGCTTCTTTTGCTCAAGGCTAGCACTCTACCACTTGAGCCACAGTGCCCCTTCCAGCTTTTTCTGTTTATCTGGTACTGAGGAATCCAACCTAGGACTTTGTGCATGCTAGGCAAGCACCCTACCACCAAGCCACATTCCCAACCCTGTAATTTTATTTTTAAGTATCAGTATTTCATAAAATGCTGTTTTCCAGAAATTTTAAATTAAAACAAACATTTATTTAGCTTATTTTACATATTTTTAGTTTAGTTCTGGAGAATGGTATAAATAAATTTAATTTGCAAAATGAACTAATTGTCTACACAGTAGTAAGAAAACAAAACATTTCACATGGGATCGCCTGCTAGCTCTTCCCAGAAACCCCCACAGTAAGGCCCTGTCTCAAAAAGAAATCTTTAACTTTGACCTGATGGAGGAAAATGGATTGGTTAAAATTGTTTTTGTGCTGTTCTTGGGGGCTTGAACTCAGAGCCTAGGCACTGTCCCTGAGTTTTTTTTGCTCAAAGCTAATATTCTACCACTTCAGCCACAGCTCCACTTCTATTTTTTTGCTGGTTAGACAGAGATGAGTTTCAAGACTTTCCTACCTGGATTGGCTTCAAACTGTGATCCTTAGATCTCAGCCTCCTGAGTAGCTAGGTTTATAGGCTTGAGCCACAAGTGTACAGCTCAAGTTGTTTTTTAATTGAACCCCTCTTGTACAACTACTTTAAGATTAAAAATATTTTTAAGTCCAAAATAAAAAGTTGTGCTTTTTGAGATTTCAGGAGCTATGAATGTAATTGCCTTCTAGTCATCAAATGTATGAAGTTCACTGGGGAAATGTAAAGAAATGTGTAAATGCAAAGTGTAAAATTGTTCAATGATGTTTTGCTTTGCTCAGAGAAAATACAAAGAAGAAATAGGTCCTAGTTTGATTTCCCTTTTGCCAATATACTCATTTTAGATTTCAGTGTTTACAGTAGAAATGTTTTTACATAAGTGAGGTCTCTCTGAGGGAAAGATTATAAAATTTTATATTACAAATCTAATCGATAATGATTAATTGGCATTTGTATTTAGCTCTAAAGTAATCAGAGGCTTAAGCTTGAAGGTGAATTTTGAGTCTCAGGGAACAAAGGCTCCCGTGGGGAGCTGGAGGCCCCAGCTACCGTATTCTTCAGAACACAACACTGCTGCTTCTCCTCACTGCAACAGGCCAGGAAAAAAGAGAATGGCCAAGCCCAAACTTGCACTGGCTAGAAATAGCTCCCTGGTCCCTAATTGCAAGAGATGGTGAAAGACTGATTTTTGCTTTCCAAACCGCAATTTTAGACCAACACAAGAGAAAGGGGGCTAATAGGTTGCCTAGTATCTGTTTAGCAGGTTTTAAGTGCTTTATTTTATAAAATTTTATTTAGTTATTTATTTTTGTCGGTTATGGGGCTTGAACTGTGGGCCTGCCTGCTATCCTTGAGCTCTAGTACTCTACCACTTGAGCCACAGTGCCACTTCTGGTTTTCTGGTGGTCAATTGGAGATAAGAGTCTCACAGGGACTTTCCTGCCCAGGCTGGCTTCAGACGGTGATCCTCAGATCTCAGCCGCCTGAGTAGGTAGGATTACAGGCATGAGCCACTGGCGCATGGCTGATGTTTTTATTTTTGGAGACAACATTTTGCTATCCACCCCAAGCTAAGCCTAGAACTTTTGGTTCTCTTGACTCAGCCTTAGGAGTGCTGGGATTATAGGTGTCTGCTGCCATACCCAGCTTCTGTTTCTGTTTTTTTTTTTTTTTAATCTCTTCTGTAACTTTCCTGTGAGTTTCATTTAGGTTATTATTTTTGCAGATGAGGAGCATAGGTTAGAAAAGATTACTTAATGAGCTGGCCAAGATCTATGATATGTAATCAGGATGTGTGTGTATGTGTGTGTGTGTGAGTGTGTGTGAGTATGTGTGTGGTGGTGGTGATGGTGGTGGTTTGAACTTGGGGCTTTGTGCTTCCTAGCAGGTACTCTATAACTTGAGCCATGGCCCAAACCCTTTTTTCAGATAGGGTCTTATGCTTTTTTCCTGGGGCTGGCCTGGGTTGCAATCCTTCGACCTTTACCTCCCACATAACTGCAGTTACAAGCATGTGCTACCACTCACGTTTGTTTTTTGAGATCGTGTCTCACTACTGTTTTGCTGACACTGGCCTCAAAACTGTGATCCTCCTATCTTCACTTCAGAATCAGACAGTCTGTATTCCAGAGCCTGCCTGCACTCTAGCACTAAGGTTATCTCAAAAGGCTATAAGCTTCACACTTCATGGGAAATATGTAGGTTTTATAATTACCATGAAGAATCATTGATTTAGTCTAGATACATTGGCTGGCATCTAGAATAAGATATTTAATTAATTTCTACCAACACAGCAATTTATTTTCAACATGGTCACATTTTCCTCTTTGCCATGTATTTTCCTCTCCACGCTGAGGGTAGATGCCTTCAACTACAAGACCTGAAAACTGAGCTGCCTATTAATAGAAGAGACAGGTGTTTTCCATAGTGAAGAAGCCCTCAGGAATGTGTCCAGTGGTCTGTGCAATAATGATTGCTTTGTACTCGCAGTGGTTCAACTCTTAGAGACATACACGCAAATGCACACACACGTAAAATATAAAGTATGGACACTTAACAAAACACTTAACAAAAACAAAACAACATAGCAATTAAACTTAAAAATGGACCTTATAACACTGCTACTAGGTATTTAAATCTTCATTTCATGGTAACTGGTTTTGTTGAATGGCTATCTTCCTTCTAATAGAGAATTTAATGACATAATCATGGTATTCATAAATGCATTTTTATTTCACTGTGGAAGATATGAATTATGTCCTCAAACTAGAATATTTGCTTGTTTGGATTTATTCTTAGCTTCTTCCTGTGCATCATTTAGATTAGTTTTTCCAGGTTCAACTCACTTTTCCTCTTTTTTTTTTTAATGTTAATCAGTTGAAAGGCCCATAACTTTGTGAGTTCACAGGGTGAGTGCATTGCTCTTGGCTGGAAAGTAGGGGCTGTTTCCTGCAGTTCAAAGGATTCCAATTTCTTTTCTGCGAACTCTTGCTCCTCATAAAGAAAACACAGATCACTAGTCAGTGAGTGTCAACTATCCTTAACATCGAACATTTGGGCAAATCTGTTGTGTGTGTCACAGTTCAGGATTGTAGCAAGGCTAACTGGAATTACACTAACTCATTTAGCCATGTAACATTACTTTTGTGGGAAAAATAGACTCTGAAATAAAGCTGTTTCAGAGGGAATCTTCCATAAAGGATTTAAACAAGAGTTGACCTCCCCCTACCCTTAACAAAAAGGTGAAGGAAAAACCATTGGCAATCCTAATTGTGTTTTTGGTGGAATTGTGCATAAGTATGACTAACTCTTCTATTTATCTCTGTCTGTCATTTCAGTCTGTTTGGCTGCTTATATAGTGCTTTAAAATTTCACTCCTGAATATTGTTTAGCATCTGCATATTTTAATGCATATGTTTCCAGAATAGTCTTGAAATGTGCTCTTGAGTTATTCAATAACTTCCTTTTTCTGTAATCATAATTGTGGTATTCTCATATTTGTGGACTTAAATGGTCTGAATTACTAAGTGCTGTATTATTTGACCTGTTCTTTAATTTTTAGAAGCAGTGTCCATGTCATTTTCATTTTTAAGAATGTACATTTTTTTTGTTTGTTTGTTTTTTGTCTTTTTTTGGTAAGTCGTGGGACCTGAACTCTAGGCCTGGGCCCTGTCCCTCAACCCTTCAGTTCAAGACTAGCGCTCTACCACTTGAGCCATAGCACCACCTCTGGCTTTTTCTGCTTACGTGGTATTAAGGAATTGAACCCAGGGCCTCATGCATGCAAGGCAAACACTCTACCACTGAGCCACCTTCCCAGCCCCACATGTTATGTTTATTGTTGTAATTTATTCATGTTGTGCTTTCTAGCAAAAAAAAAAAATTCCCACCAAACTAAAAAACTGTTTCTTGCAGTCTGATGATTGATCTTGTTTTACTGAGATTTAATCTTGAAGAATAAAAATCTTCAATATTAATATTAAAGTTTTCTCGAGATTAATTCTTATAGTTATTTTAACCAAATAAAAAGTGCTCATTGTGATGGAGTAGGTGGCTTGGGAAAACAACGAATAACGGACAGGATTGAAAGGGCATATAGGTGTGTTTGTAGAAATTCCACTTGAGAATTTGGTCCTATTATTGTTTACCAAACACAGTTTTGGCTATTGTTATGGGATATGTACCCCAAGAAAACACCAGTTGGGCTAATGGATTGTTCTCTGTTGTCTTACAAGAAGGCCCATGCATGGTTCTATTTGTTGTGTGGCTTTGTCCAAACCTTTCCTAGGACTGACTGGCTGTTGAAATGGGGACAGAGGTTCACTGAGCCCCTCTGGAGTGCACTGGGAAGTTGTTCCTGTAGTCATTTGCCTTGTGTTGGTTCCAGGGAAGCTGCCCGGGAGTGTCGCAGGAAGAAGAAAGAATATGTCAAATGTCTTGAAAATCGTGTGGCTGTGCTTGAAAACCAAAACAAGACCCTCATTGAGGAACTCAAGGCCCTCAAAGATCTTTATTGCCATAAAGCAGAGTAACTGTCTCTGACCTTGTTTACTGGGAACTCTAACCAAGGCAGGCGATGCAGCGGTCCTTCTAGTCACCAGTGTGGACTTGTGGAAGGGACATTTGTGACCCTTAAGAATCCAGTTTGTCTGAGTGTGTGAAATTGAATTGGGAATATTGTTCCAAGATTTGGAGTACGTTTCTGATCACATTTACCAAGATTACTTCCACATATTTGTCAGTAGCATGCAAAAACAACAAAAACAATGTTTGTTTGCCCTTATGCCTCTACTTTTTCCAGGGAAGCTGCTAAAGAATGTCGACGTCGAAAGAAAGAATATGTGAAATGTCTGGAAAGTCGAGTTGCAGTGCTGGAAGTTCAGAACAAGAAGCTTATAGAGGAACTTGAAACCTTGAAAGACATTTGCTCTCCCAAAACAGATTAGTAGAAATATTTAACTATGAACTGACTACAGCATGTACAGTTGCTTTTGAAAGCAATACAATATATAGCCGGCAAGAATAATGGCTTTTTCTTTGTATTATTCATCTTCCTTTCTCATCTCTTAACATTCCTAAAATGCTTCACTGTACGTACTTAACTCTTAGCCCAAACTACAATTTTTAAAAAGAGAGAAACTGTAAAAAAAAAATGTATGTAAAAATTCTTGAAATATTTGTAAGACTTGTTCCAATGCGACATATTTGCAGTTCCCAACTTCTGTGTCACAAATAGTGTCCTATGCAATAAAATTTCACACAGATCTTAAAAAAAAAATCATTTTAGGAAAGGATGATCAAAGATGCATCCAGCAGTACAATAAAATCAAACCACAAAAATACCTCAGGAAATAATGGAAAGTCTATCTAATTATATGCCTATATGACAAGAATAGCCTAGGAATGAATTTATGGCATTTATAGATTTTTATATTAGTGGCTTTGTAAAGAAACTATTGTATTGCTGTCCTTTAATGCCGTAAAGACATTTTTTAATAGAACCATGTCAGTTGTATTTTTGTAGTATTTGGTACTTATTTAAATATCTGAACATTTACTCTTCATCTTGTAATATAACCAGTCTTGTAGAGGTTCTTAGAGTTGATTGATAATACCCAAAGAAAGGGACATCAAGCCTACTGGGACAGTACTGCAGACATTCAAGGGTACAAGCCAAGTCTGATACAGGTCATGATCTGGTTGATGCCCCACCATCTCAGAATGACTACCCCAGGGCCAGGATTGCATGTCTGGCTGGCATATTCAAGGCCCCATTTCCAGCCCCAGCACTGCAAAACAAATGGTGTGTGTGTGTGTGTGTGTGTGTGTGTGTGTGTGTGTGTGTGTCATAGGGCTTGAACTCAGGGCCTGGGTACTGTCCTTGCGCTTTTGTGCTCAAGCCTAGTACTTTACCACTTGAGCCACAGTTCACTTTCAGCTTTGCTGGTAAATTGGAGATAAGAGTCTCATGGACTTTCTTGCCTCTCCTGGCTTTGAACTGTAATCCTCAGATATCAGCCTTCTAAATAGCTAGGATTATAGGCATAAACCACTGGCACCTGGCAGTTTTGGCTTGCTGTCCTCTCCTCCTCCTCCTCCTCC